TCTGAAAGATGACTATCCAGCCATGCATTCAACACCGAATTCACTATCTGACATATACTATTTCAATTCAAAGAGCGGAGTACATGTTCTTAAAACTGTCTCTTATACACATCTAGATGTGTATAAGAGACAGATGTTGCTCAGATCTCAAACTCCTGGTTCTCAAGCAATCCTCCTGCCTCAGCCTCCCAAAGTGCTGTGATTATAGATGTGAGCCACTGGGCCCAGCCAGAAACTACTGTTAACATCCCTCAAAAGTAAGCTCCATGTGGACAGGATTGTTGTCTCTTTCATTCAATACTGTATCCCTAACATTAGCACATAATAAGTACTTGCATTATTTGTTGAATGAATGAACTTAAGTAGAAAAAAATCAGCCAAGTCATATACATGTTTTTATACAATATTTTAACAACTGTTATTTGTAACTTGAATATTATTCATTTTCTAGCTCTTTGAGAACTGTACTTCTTTATACCTTCACGGATCTAAAATATTACAAGCTGAGGGCTAGGTGTGGTGGCTCACACCTGTAATCCCAGCATTTTCAGAGGCTGAGGCGGGAGGCTCACCTGAGACCAGAGAGACCAGCCTGAGCAACAGAGTAACACCCGGTCACTACAAAAAATAAAATTAGGCAGGCAGGCTGGGCACAGTGATTCACGCCTGTAATCACAGCACTTCGGGAGGCCAAGGCAGATGGATCACTTGAGGTCAGGGGTTCAAGACCAGTCTGGCCAACATGGTGAAACCCCGTTTCTACTAAAAATACAAAAATTAGTTGGGCGTGGTGGTGCACACTTGTAATCCCAGTTACTGGGGAGGCTAAGGTGGGAGGATTACTTGAACCCAGGAGCTGGAGGCTGCAGTGAGCCAAGACAGTACCACTGAATTCCAGCCTGGGCAAAGCAAGACTCTGTCTCAAAAAAAATAAATAAATAAATTAGGGAGGCATAGTGGCATGTGCCTGTGGTCCTAGCTACTTTCAAAGCTGAGGGGAGAGGACAGCTTGAGCCCAGGAGTTCAAGGCTGCAGTGAGCTATGATCACATCATGCAGTCCAGCGTGGGTGACAGAGAGAGAGAGAGATCCTGTCTCTTTAAATACACACACACACACACACACACACACACACAGAGAATATGGTAACAATTTTTGAACTCCATTCAACCAATCCAATCAACTTTCATTAGCCCCTTATCTTCCTCAAAGTAATACAAAGTAACTAACACACACCACTGATTAACCTAATTTAGTTCCTGGAATGCCTTTAAAGTTCCTCTTCTAACTCCCTTTTCTTCATTACCAAATGCACTGCCTCCACTGTTTGCATTATTTCCTCTTCTATTAGTTTTTATTAATAAAAACCATTGTTTTGAAAGTTAAAAGACCTAACTTCAGAACCCACCAGTATTTATTTCTTGTCCCATGTGACCCCTCTAAAATAGAGATCCCCTTGTCCACCCATTTCTCCTAGAGACATTTTCTTCTTGACTGAATGATAAAGTAAGAAAAACAGAACCACAAAAGGGACGGCAGAGCTACACATAACCTAGCTTCCTATTCTAGACTCTGGTAAGCCTCCTCTCCCTGTGTACCTTCTCAGTCCAGGAGTTAACACCACATTCTTGGCAGACCTACCACAGAACTGCCTGGAAACTTTCTGCCTCCTGTATTTTTCCCCTTCTAATCCATTGTCCACAATGTGGTCAGTCTGTTTCATGAATTGTGGCCATGCCACTCCTTTACTCAAAAACTTTAATTGTGGCCGGGCACAGTGGCTCACACCTGCTAATCCCAGCACTCGGCGAAGCCAAGGCAGGCGGATCACTTGAGGTCAGGAGTTTGAGATCTGCCTGGCCAACATGGTGAAAAGCTGTCTCTACTAAAAATACAAAAATTAGGCAGGCGTGAAGGCACGCTAATCCCAGCTACTCACAAGGCTGAGACAGGAGAATCACTTGAACCTGAGAGGCAGAGGTTGCCCTGAGCCAAGATGGCACCACTGCACTCCAACCTGGGCGACAGAGGGAGACTCTGTCTCAAAAAAAAAAAGAAAAAAAAAAAAAAACAAACCCAAACCACCAAGCAACAACAAACAAAACTCTAATTGGTTCACTACCGTCTTCAAAATAAAACTCCAAACTCTTTATTATGACATTCAACATCCTCAACAATACTGCCTAGAACATGACTCTCCACAGCCAGCTTCTGCTTCTCTCCACCGTCCACCATACAATAAATCATATAAGGTTATTCACCAGTTCCTATACACATCTACCTCTACTCCTCCAAACCTTAGCTGATGAGCAATCTTTGTCTGGAACATCTCAGCCTCTTCTTGCCAATGAGACCTACAGAATCGATAATTTTCATTCAAGAACTGGCACAAAAACCACCTCCTCTTAAAGCTTTTATTGGCCACCTGGTAAGAATTTGTTACTTTTATGTTTGGATTGCCAAGTCACTTCATTTGTGCTCTATTACAATATTTAGTAAGGTAAGACACAAGGCTGCCTCAATTGCAATAAGGATCGCTTGTCTACCCTTCTGTGGTATAGATTCCAAGATGAATCCATTAAAAACATAAGCAGGAAATGTTTATCCCTATTGCTTAAGTAACAAACCTAGAGTTAACGCAATATTTTCTTTAAGTGTACACTGGCAGCAAATACCAAGAATATTCATAACCACAAGTTATACATCTATAGCCAAAACACTTATTAGCAGTAATAGTCACCTATTTCAAAAAGTTAATGTACTCTAATCTCAAAGTACTACTCAAAGTCAAACGAGGAGGGAAAAAACACTTACTTCCATTGTTGCCAACAACAAAGTTGACATTAGAACCAAACTTAAAGGGTCCAAGCATTGAATGACACATGAAGTTTTTTAGGTGAATACTCTCAATTATTCCAACTTCTGCTGCAGTCTATGAATAAAAAACAATAGGAGAAAATAGTCAATCTAATTCACTCATTATAACCATTCAAGCATTGCTGGCATCAGAAAGACTAGCAACATCACCAATGAAAAAATTTACAGAAAGTGACTAATGGTAACTTCAATGAATAAGATGAAATTAAATGAGACCTTCTATGAGTCAGTACTCATTCCAAAATCTTTAAAGGATTTAAAAGTGTGTCACCAGATTTCTTAATATTGGCAATAACATTTTGGGTCTGATAATTTTCTGTTAGTGGGGAGGTCTGTCTTCTGCACTGTAGAATGTTTAGCGGCATCCCCAGCCTCTATCCACTAGAAGCCAGCGACACATACCTGTCCCTAAGTTGTGACAACCAAAAATATATCCAGACATTGCTAAATGTCTCTGGCAGACACAAAAGGGAGAGAGAAGAATCCCCTTTGTTGAGAACTGCTATCCCAATTGGCAAAGCAAAACTTCCTATATACTTTATTTAGAATACCTCTGAAAGATGACTATCCAGCCATGCATTCAACACCGAATTCACTATCTGACATATACTATTTCAATTCAAAGAGCGGAGTACATGTTCTTAAAAAGTAAAGCCTGCTCTTCTTGTGACTTTGTCACTTACTATCGCAGCTGTGTGACTTTTGGCAATGTTATAAAGAATATACAGTTTCCGAGTCCGTAAAACAGGAATAATATTTCCTATACTGTAAATATTATATCAGCATTAAGTTACATAAGGTTTACAAATGGTTTAACCAAGAGTTTGGCAAATGGTAGTCACTTGCACTTTGTAGTTATCTAAGTACCAGAACAAATCAGCCTTATTTTATCAGGCCTTCTAATTTTTTTGAAGACCATTTTCAAGTCTCCAGGTATTTTAAAGATTTCTTTAAAACTCCCTGGCTCTCCTCTTCTGGACATACATCTTATTAAACAGTAGAAAACATTTACATCCTTGTATGAGTAGAATACTGGAAATCACAGTTGAAGAATTTTTGAAATATTTTTATTTTTAAATAATAACAGATTCACGTGCAATCCTTAAGAAATGAGATCCTGTGTACGCTTTACTCAGTTTCCTCCCATTGTAACTTCACAACCTTGTAACTTCCTCCCATTGTAACTTACAACTTGGTTGTAACAATATCACAACCAAGTTACTGACACTGACATAGTCAAAATACAGAATATTTCCATCATCATCAGGATCCCGCATGCTGCCCTTTTATAGTCACATCCACATCCCACCTTAACCCCTGACCCACTAATCTATTCATTTCTATTAACTTTGCCCTTTCTAAAATGTTAAATAAATAGAAACAGACAAAATGTAGCCTCTTGGGACTGGCTTTTTTCACTCAGCCGAATTCTTTGTTGTTGCCTATATCAGTAGTTCACTCCTTTTTATTCTTAAGCTATATTTTATGGTATGGATGTACCAAGGTGTATTTACTAGTTCCTTTGCCTTTTCACCTAAATTTTAGAATAAAATACACACCTACAAAATATCTTGCAGAGGTTTTAATAGAACTGCATTTAAACTTACATATCATTTTGGGGGAGAACTGACATAATTTCTATATTGAGTTGTCTAATCCATGAATAAGTATGTGTCTCCATTTATTCGGGTGTTCTTTGATTCCCTTCATCAGCACTGTATAATTTTCACCATATTAGTCCTGTACATATTTTGTTAGCTTTAGACATATTTCATTTTTTAATACTTAATTTTTTAAGAGTAGTTTTAGATTCACAGCAAAATTGAGAGGAAGATACAGAAATATCCTATATACCCGCTACCCCCACACATGCATAGTCTCCCTCATTATCAACATCCACCATCAGTGTGGTACATGTGTTACAGCCGATGAACCCACACTAACACATCATTATCAACCCAAGTCCACCGTCTGTACTAGGGTTCACTCTTGATATTACTGTACATTCTATATATTTGAACAAATTTATAACGACATGTTTCCACCATTTTAGTATTGTACAGAGTTATTTTTACTGTACTAAAAATCCAGTGCTCCACCTACTCATCCCTCCCTTTCCTCAACCACTAGCAACCAACCACTGATTTTTAACTCTCTCCATAGTTATGCCTTTTTCAGAATGTCATATAGTTGGAATCATACAGTATGTAGCCTTTTCTGATTGGCTTCTGTCACTTAGTAATATGCATTTAAGGTTCCTCTATGTCTTTCCATGGCTTAATAGCTTAATACTAATGGTCCACTGTCTGTATATACCAGAGTTTCTTTATCCATTTATCTACTGAAGGACATTTTGGTTGCTTCGGAGTTTTGGCAATTACAAATAAAGCTGCTATAAACATGAAAGCACAGGTTTTCGTGTGGACATAAGTTTTCAACTCCTTTGGGTAAATACTGAGGAGTTCAATTGCTGGACTGTATGGTAAGAGGATGTTTGGTTTTGTAAGAAACTGCCAAACTGTGTTCCAAAGTGGCTGGACATTCTCACCAACAACGAATGAGAGTTCCTGTTGCTCCACATTCTTGTCAGCATTTGGTGCTCTCAGTAGTTTGAACTATTGCCATTTTATCTTTATCGGGTGTGTTGGTATCCCAATATTGTTTTAATGTGCATTGCCCCAAAGTGGTTCATTTTTTTTGAGTGATTGAAAATAGTATTTTGAATTTTAATGTCCATGTGCTCAATGCCAGTATATAAAAGTAAAGCATTTTTAAAATACCTTATCCTATAACTTTGCTGAATGTATTTATTCATTTTAAGAGTTTTCTGTAGATTCCTTGAGATTTTTTATGTAGAAAATGAACAAATGGATTATCTACATAATCTGCAAACAGACACTTTTTGTGTGTTTTTTTCCTTTCCAAACTCTATACCTTCTGTTTCCTTTTCTTGATTTGTTTGCACTGCTAGATTTCCCAGCACTATGTGTTCAATAAGTGATAAAAGCAAACAACTTTGTCTTCTTCCTGATCTTTGGGGAAAAGTATCCAATGTTTTACCATTAAGTATAACGTTAGCTGTCAGTTTTTTTGTGGGTGCTCTTTAACATATTGAGGAAGTTCCAGTCTATTCTTATTTTTCTGAGAGTTTTAGTCATGAATAGGTGTTGAATTTTATCAAACATTTTTGCTGCACTGAGTGATATAATCCTGTGATTTTTCTTCTTTAGCCTGTAACATGGTGAATCACAATGACTGATTTTTGGAGACTGAATCAGGTTTGTATACCTAAAATTATCCCATTAATCATGACATATAATTCTTTTACATATAGTTGGCTCTTCCTGTCTGCAAATTCTGCAGATGTGAATACACAGGGCAGATTATAAAGGACTTCAGCATCAGTGGATTTTGGTCTGAAGCAGAGTCCTGGGAACCAATCCTGCTTGAATACCAAGGAACAACTACATTGCTGAATTCTCCTCGTAAATATTTTGTTCAGTATTTCTGCAACCATATCTGTTAGGTATACCAGTTTTACAGTTAGTTTTTTTGGGGGTCCCACTTTGTCTGGTTTTGGTATCAAGATAATACATTGAAAAGTGTTCTCTCCTCTTACGTTTTCTGGAAAAGACTGTGTAGATTCATGTTGATTCTTCTTTAAATGTCTGGTACAATTCTACAGTGAAACCAACTGGGTCTGTAGATTTCATTTTCTGGAGTTTAAAATTATGAATTAAATCTCCTTAGTAGTTACAGAGCTATTCAAATGATCTATTTCATACTGGTGAGTTGTAGTAATTTTTCCTTTTTGAGGATTGGTCCACTTCATCTAAGTTGTCAAATTTATGTGTGTAGACTTGCTAACTGCATTTCCTTTGGATGTCTGCAGGGTCTGTGGATAGCCCCTATTTTATTCCTGATATTGGTAATTTGTGTCTTTTCTCTTTTGGCATTTGTTGGTCTTACTAAAAGTTTGTTAATTTTATTCACTTTTCTATACATTCAGTCCTTTGATCATTTTCTCTATTAATTTTTCTAATAATTAACATAACCTTCAAAATTAGCCAGAACAGATTTTACCTCAACTTTTAAAAAAATATATTACTTTTTCTTGATTTTAAGTTATCATAGAATGTGATATTATGAATGTGACAAGAAAAACATATCAAAAAGCGTAATTTTATAATTTTTCACTTACCAAAGTAGAAGTACCTTTACATTCGTCTTCGTCACCATCTTTATCAAAATCCTCCAATTCTTCTTGTCTTGGCCTTTTGGCATTTTTAGGAGAGGAAAAATTTTCTTCCTTTCTTTTGGCCATCAGGTCTGAACAAATATTTATAGCAACAATGAAGTAAATCAAGTTCCATATATATTAAACTTAAAATAAATCTAACAAAGTTAATTAAACTTTAAGTACTATGTCCGTCTATTTTTACCTTAAAAATTAAAGTAAATTAGTCTTGCATCTTGCACTGAGGAAGAGAGACATGAGTCAAAAAATGCTGGACAAGGCAAGGAAACAGATTTTCTCTTAGAGCCTCTAAAACAGAACATAGCCCTACGGACATTTGGATTTTAGCCCAGTGAGACCTGTGTTGGACTTCTAATCCACAGAAGCATAAGATAGTAAATTTCCGTTGCTTTAACATCCGCATATTCTATACTACTTGATTTTACTTCAGACGTATTCATAGCCAAGATTTTATCAGTAAAAGATTTTCTGAAATTGTGGTTTCTAGTTTTCTAAATCTATTCATAGAGATGGCATGGTGATTCCTGAAATTAATCCAAAGCAATCCCCAGTTTTTACAAGCTATAAAGTAATCAGATAAAACTTTTAATTTTTAAATTGTCTTTCCCAAAGAATCATATTTTGAAGCACATTGCCTAGCACCAGTGGTTTCCTTTAACTCTTCCCTAAAAAAAAGTCCAGGTTGATTGTCTATTTTTTGCCAATCATCTACAAAATTTAAGCCTAGAAAATTAACATCTTTAAGTTACACATGATTTTGCTGAATATATGCATACTGAACCTCCAGTCAAAGCTGATAGTTTGTGATTAAAATTAAACTTTATGACCTCTTTGATTGCTGCTTTCATTTTTTTCTTTAGAATACATTTAAGACCTAAAATGATTAAGTGTCTAATTGTTTGCTAAATGGAGAGAAAAATCTCTAACATAATCAAAAATTTCTAAGCTATAAGAATATAAACAACAGTTCTAGGCTCAATGTACTTAAATCCCCCAAATATTAGACCACAGCAACCCTCTCTGTACCATGTATATAACTGGCTCTCCTACCCATGCAAGCAAAATCCAAGGGGGTAGCCTGACTTCCACTCTAGCGAGGCTACAAGGTGGCATCTCAACACCCTAACGGGGGTAGAGTCAAAGAAGGCTAAGTAGACAAGTAGGGAGCCATGGTAATGGTGTCAGTGGGGACCACCTAGAGAGCCTAGATTTCCACCCACACAGGAAGTAGTAGGGTGCTACTTACTCCTTCTCCTAGTTGGCTAGTGTCATAACGCAAAGTCAGGACTTTTGCCATTGCCCAGAGGCGAGAAGGCCACTCCCACTGCAGTATCACTGGAGACCACATGGGAAATTGAAACTGCAACCCCAGCCTAGCAGTCACTGTGGCTAAGGAAATAGCTCTGATTTAAGTTCTAGATCTGAGTCTCTGTGTCCACAGTCCAATATGGAGGGAAGCAGTTCTCAAAGGTTATAATCTCTTTTACAAAGGACTTCAAAGAGCTTTTGCTTATGTCTACCAATATTTATTATATTAGAACTTAAAACTAAACAACTTTTTTCTCTCTTTTTTTTTTTTCTGAGATGGAGTCTCAGTCTGTCTCCCAGGCTGGAGTGTAGTGGCACGATTGCAGCTCAATGCAACCTCCGCCTCCTGGGTTTAAGTGATTCTCCTGCCTCAGCCCCCCACGTAGCTGGGATTAAGGTGAGCGCCACCACACCCAGCTAATTTTTTATTTTTAGTAGACATGGAGTTTTGCCATGTTCGCCAGGCTGATACCAAACTTCTGACCTCAAGTGATCTGCCCACCTCAGCCTCCCAAAGTGCTGGGATTGCAGGTGCGAGTCATCACGGCTGGCCAAAACTGAGCAACTTTTAAAACAAGGGACACACAGTATATATTCCATCAGTCAGAGCAATGACATCTCACAAGTCATGTAACCTCTGGAAAACTCCACTATACACTCATAAGTGAATGAGAGTGAAAAGGGCAAATAACATCTTACTATTATCATTAAAACAGTTTTGGCCTTGTAGATCCCTTGCAAGAGTCTCATGGATTCCTGGACCACATTTTGCAAAGTGCAGCTACAGGGGGATATTAAAAGCAAGTCCATGATACAGTGTCATAAATTATAAGGCACAGCTAGCAAGTAATAATGTTAGAGCAGTACGGAAGAAATAGACCACAAAAGGACTTGTAGACTCCTCATATTTAAAGTGTGGTCCAAGGACCGGCAAGCAAGATCTACATCTCCTGGGAAGATATCCAATTATCGGATATCCAGAATCTCAGGCCCCACCCTAGAGCAAGTGAATCAGAATCTTCACTTTAACAAGACTTAAGGTGATTCACAAGCCCATTAGAGCTGAATTGTTATGTAAACCATAGAAAATAACTGGGACTTTATCCTATCCTGAAGGCAATGAAGAACTTTATACATTATGAAGTCAAATATCATTTAAAGGGTATATTACTTACCATCCAAAGGATATTTAACCTAAATAAATGTCTTCTAAGACAATATTACCATTACAATTACATCTATGTAATATTCAGCTTCATTTTTACAATTTAATATTTTGAAACTTACAAAAATCAAAAATTCAAAATCAAACATATTTTTCAAAATAATAAGAATCAACATAGATCAGTTTCAGTTTATTATTAATTTAAATTCCCTGAGATACTACCAGGTCATTATTTTTCCAACACTTTCTTCTCTGCTAACCACCCTCTATTCCCTTCTCAGTTACTGAGCAGTAATTTATTTATTACAGAAGAGCAAAGAGAAAGCATTACTTTTTGGTGTCTCCAACATTTAATGTCCTTTTAGAAACTGTTTTTATTAATGCCTAACATTATGCAGTTAGCAGGCACTCAGACATTAGCTAACAGATAATGCACTAGGGAAAATGTGATGTGCTTCTCACAAGGAATATGAGATTCTATACAGAAGACAGTACACCCAAACACTACATGATGACGATGTTTTTTATTTGCTGAGCATGACCTGGGATTTGCAGTTTGCTATTAGGTTGCCAGGGTAACTTGCATCTAACAGACACTGAAGGATCCTACCTTTTAAAAGAGGACTCACTTTGTAATTTAATGATGATGGATTTTCAAACACATATTTGAATGTCTAGAGCATCAGATACAGATTAAAACAGTAAAATTGTTTCCAAAAGGCTAAAGAGACATATTTACAGATGCAAAGAAAAATATTTTAATTTTGCTGGAATAAAAAAAGGAGAAAAAAGGCTCCTCTGGGATTTTCAATTTATCTATAAAGCTCGTCATAGTTTTTAATATTTCTTTACTTATTTATAATTAAAAAAAAAACAGAATTAAAGAACACCTCATTTCTCCCTTACAAGAAGCAGGGACAATGAAGACCATCAATAAAATAAGTTCAAGAAGAAAAATTAATGGCCGGGCGCAGTGGCTCACGCCTGTAATCCCAATACTTTGGGAGGCTAAGGCAAACGGATCACGAGGTCAGGAGTTCGAGATCAGACTGGTCAATATGGTGAAACCCCGTCTCTACTAAAAATACAAAAATTAGGCCATGGCACGCGCCTGTAGTCCCAGCTATTTGGGAGGCTGAGGCAGAAGAATGGCTTGAACCCTGGGAGGTAGAGGTTGCAGTGAGCCAAGACTACACCACTGCACTCCAGCCTGGGCGACAGAGCAAGACTCCATCTCAAAAAAAAAAAAAAGAAAAAGAAAAATTAATAACCAAGAGTTCATTATAGCATGTAGATGTATAGGAAATTTGATAGAGATCATGCATTTTAACAGAATTCTAAATTTTATTAAGTATGTAATAATTCATATTTCCCATTAATACTAAATTAGGAACTAAGAGTAGTGACACACGTAACAAAACTAGAATTTAATAAAAAACAGTGTTATCATTTTTTTAAAAAGGCAAATTACTACTACTTCTGAATCTGCCCTGGATTGTGTTTACCACATCCTCAATTCTACTCTGCCTACCACAACAGACATTTATTCTACAGTAAACAACTTCATTTTGAATGTGCTTAATTAAGTACACTGCTTGGAATATATCATGAAATTACACGAGATTAACTGGATAATAAATAGTATAAATACTTATGTGAAAAAATTTGTTAAGTCCATCCATCTAAAATGTTAGGATCAGCAAAATTGGGAAATATAAAGCACAGCATTTCAGTTAATAAAATCTGAACACTGAGATTTCTGTACTGAAAACATCCTGTTGCTCAATATAGAAGATAGATGAAACAGAACGTAAGAATAGCAGCAGAAGAGATGAGCTGCTAAACAAAAGCAGTGGTAATATCAGGGACAAAGGGAAGAGATAAAACAAGAAATTTAAAAGACTGAATAAGCAGAATTGGTGAGTACAAATGAGTGAGTAGAATTAATATTTGTCGAATAACCACAAACTTAGCTTTTGAGAAGAACACTTTCTATTTTCTTTGATCCCCAACATCTTTATGAGATAAATATTGCCCTTATTTTTACAAAAGGAGAGATTGAGTCACAAGTAAACGACTTGAATTTGTAGCTACAACTTAGTTCTAACATACAAAGGCTTCTATAGCTCTAAAATAGCAGGGCTCAGATCCAAATCCAGGTTTGTCAAAACCCAGTTAAACCTCTTTAACGCCCAGGTTCCTACTGGCATAAACTGAAATTTGACAGTTAATTACTCACAGACAGTGAAATTGGCTATTAATCTGTCCTTCATCTTGTCTATCCTTCATTAAACTTAAAAAAAGGCTATTATTGGCTGGGCGCGGTGACTCACGCCTGTAATCTCAGTACTTTGGGAGGCCGAGGCAGGCAGATCACCTGAGGTCAGGAGTTCAAGACCAGCCAGGCCAACATGGTGAAACACCATCTCTACTAAAAACACACAAAAAAAATTAGCTGGACTTGGTGGTGCACGCCTGTAATCCCAGCTACTCAGGAGATTGAGGCAGGAGAATCACTTGAACCTGGGAGGCAGAGGTTGCAGTGAGCCGAAATCGTGTCACTGCCCTCCAGCTTGGGTGACAAGAGTGAACAGCTGTCTCCAAAAAAAAAAAAAATTCTCTATTGTTACTATTAAAGTCAATCAAAACATTGGGTGTGTTTTATAAAATTTCATTTTGTGTTTCATCTTCACACTTAATACTAAATGCCATTATAAGTTGATGGAACAGGTTTGGCAAGAAGGGAGAATGAAATATTTATTTTATTTGAAAACACTGAGTTTGGGCTGGGCTCAGTGGCTCATGCCTGTAATCCCACCATTTTGGGAGGCCGAGATGGGTGGATCACTTGAGGTAAGGAGCTCAGGACCAGCCTGCCCAATGTGGTGAAACCCCATCTCTACTAAAAATACAGAATTAGCCAGGTGTGGTGGTGCATGCCTGTAATCCCAGCTACTGGACAGGCTGAGGCAGGATTGCACCACTGCACTCCAACCTGGGCGACAAGAGTGAAACTCTGTCTCAAAAAAAAAAGAAAGAAAACACTGAGTTTGAAGTGCTCCTAAGGTATTTGAGATAGAGAGGCCAGTCAGTAGTAAAGTATACTCTGCAATAGAGAAGGATTTGTGGGTGGAGCTGAGAAAGCTACTGGAAGTAGTTTGAATTTGGTGACCAAGAAAAGCATGCTCAAGAGAGAAAAGATGTAACTTATTTAAATAGTGAATCAAAAATGCCAACATTAACCTAAGCAACTACACTTGACCCTCAGTCAGCTGGACTTACGGTTGTGTATAAAGAACTGTGGCATTTTAATTGTGTCTTAAATATAATGCAAGCTATCATGGTAAAATTTTGAGTTACTTACTAATTCCTAAAAGTAAGCCAAGTACAGTTTTAATTGTCTTTCCTAACTTAGGTCTAAAAAGGACAGTCAAGATTTAGGTAGGTTTTCCATAAAATTCTACAGATTCAGTAAAATATACTCAGTAAAATAAACCTTTGGGGAATAAAACTTGTTATTCACTGCAATACCTTTAACACGACCTTTGTACTTTTTGCCAGGCTCAATACTAAGTGCTTTATACAGATTGTAGACAGATGTCGATAAATAACTACATAACTTTCTCTTCCTCTCTGTCTCCACATACTTAAGAATCCTGTCAGCTAGGTCCAGTCAATCCCTAAGAACTGGTTCCAAAATGACAGCCCCTCTCTCTCACTCAGATACCAAAATCCACAGATGCTCAAGTCCCTTATATGAAATGGTGTCACATTTGCGTATAACCTCCCCACATACTTAAAAATTATCTCTAGATTACCTATATAATCTAATACAATGTAAATGCTATGTGAATAGTTGTTATACTGTACTGTTTAGGGAATAATGACAAGAACAAAAAAGTCTGTGCAACCATCCACTTTTTTTCCTCTGAAATATTTTCAGTCCCTTGACTGAGTTCACGGATACAGAGGATGCACTGATAACTGTATTATTTCTTCCAACTTACATAAGAAGAACTGAAACTTACAAGAGGTGGTACCAATCTGCTCAGAGTCACACAATTCTGGCTCTTTGTGATATAAATACACTTTTTTAGGCAATATACTAGCGGTCTCCAAACGTTTTGTACTTGCACCCATTAAGCAAAAGAAATTTGAAATACACATTCCAACATAAAATTAATACCCTATGTTCCCCATAGAAATCAAACGAAATAAAGTAAATCTAAATAGAAGTTCTCATGTTCCCTCTCTACCCACACACCCATGGACCAAACTGCATGCCACTGTATATACTATCGTACATGTTAAAAGTTCACACAGCAACCATATAAAAGTCAGGAAATTTGGGTTTTTATTTTTTCCTTTGAATATATATTACTGAGAAGTTTGCCTTTAAAACACTGGCTTTTAATCTCCTACTCTGAAATATGCAGAGTAATAAGTGCTCACAAAACTTCTGTCTTGAGGGCTTAAACACCAAATGATTGCTCTAAGAATTTTCACAGTATTACCTCAAGCCCTATTGGTTCTACAACCCTTTCTCTACCCTAGAGTCCCGTTTTCCGCAATTCCCAATTGGGATTCTTCTCCGGTTCATTTCCGTAAGAAATGAGGGCAGAGAAATGCCATCAATAAACCTTTGAATACATGTTAATTTTTCTAGATAATACAATTTGCATTTTCGTAAAACTGGGCTTTAATGACAAATTCAATTTCAGTGATCTTTGCATAACACCAGTTGCCGTCTGCGAGGTATCATCAGACTCATGCTAAGAGCCACTCCCGATCCCAGCTTTCCCCAGACCCCTCCCCACTTTATAGTTATTCGCCACAGCCCGGGGGAATCTGGGGACCGCCGCCTGGGAGAGAACGGCCCCGAGCCGACGCCAGATTTCCCGCGGCTCAGGAGACCGGTGCCGCCTCGGAGAGCGCGCGAAGGTGCCGCCCGCCGCCCGACCCGCCCGAGGAACGGACATCCCCTGCCCAGGCCCGCAAGGACGACCATGAACACCGCCGCAGCTCAGCTGACCCTGCCTCTCCCAGGTGGCTGGGGGTCGCCAACCAAGGGGGCAGCGGGCGGAGGATGAACCCCGGAGCAAGGGAAAGCGACAGGGCGCGCCTTCACCCTACCGCCAACAATTCGAAGTCTCCCAAAGGAACCTGATCGGCGGGGCTGCCGCGGTACGACCGGCCGCTAAGGCCACCCTGCGGGTGTCTCGACCTCGGCTGACCGCCGCCGGCCCGCTGGGAACCGCGCGCCTGCAACAGGAGAAGGTAGGATCCCGGGCGCCCCGGCGCCCACCGCGGGACTAACCGCGCTTGCGCCCCGCCCTCCCTCCCTTCGGGACTCCGCCCGCGCCTGCGCAGTTCCGGGGTTTCGCGCAGCCGGCGTCTGAGAGGCCGGAAGTGCCCCTTGGCGGGCGGGGGAAGCTGGTAGGCATCCGCTGCTCCGCAGTTACCGGACGCGGGGGAGGCGAGTGATTTGCCTAACTAAAAGGGAAAGATAACTGAGCGACCCCCTGCAACGGGTCTACGCATGCGTCCGCTGGGCCGGTTGGGCCGGCAAGGGAAAGCCGAGTGGGCCCCATTGGGGGAAAGGGGTCAGTCACTTCCCGGAAGAGGCGGGGCCGCGCGGGCCCGGCGCCGGATTCGAAACGCTTCCTGGTGTTCCCGGGCCCGGCGGCTGAACCCGGGGCGCTAGTCTTTGCTTGGGTAAAGAAAGAGGACTTTTCTTTTTTTTTCTTTTGAGAAAATTCAGGAATTTGGAGGCACAATAGTTAGGATTCAGGCCAAACTGGTAAATGACGAAGGGGCTTCTTCCAGAGCCAAGGAGGAAGGGTTGTCCGGGTAAGTCCGGCGGGACGTGGAGAGACTGCGCCGCTCGGGCCCTCCCGCTGGTTCCTTTGACCATCAGGGTTAGGGGTAAGCTCTTTGTTCGCTGCTCCTCCGAAAACGCCTTCAATGACTCCCTTTGAATAAAGTAGGAAGTCCGAACCGAGCCGCCAGGCCGCGACCTGGCCCCTGTTTTCCACTCTCGCGGGCCCTGCGGGTTACCCCGCCCCGGGAAAGCTGCTCGTTTCCCGGCCGCTCGCGCTTAGCCGAAGCTGCTGGGTCCCGTTGTGCGTCCCCTGGGCATGCGATGGGGATGATTCCCACGCCTCGCTCAAATCCGACCCGCCGAGCCCTCCCTGATCCCCATAGGCACATTTGAGTGTTCCCTTTTCCGTGTTAACCTTGCATTTTGGATATAGTTCTGTTATAGTAATTACCTTAAGGGATTGTAGTTGTTTTTTTACGATCGTTCCTTCCCCCCCCCTCCCCCCACGGTGAACTAAAGTGTAAACTCCCTAAATAAACGTCAGAATTAATGAAGTCTTACTTCCTTGGCTTAGGTTTCAGCGCCCTTCTCAACCCCACGCTACCCCTTCAGTCTTTACGCAACCCTTCCCATGAATATACTGACCTAGCAAGTAACCTACGTTTCATACTCCAAAATGTTCTCTTCTGTGTGGGGAAAATAATGCATTGACTGCCACCTCACCCCACCTCCAAATAAATTGATGTTAAAATTCTGGCCTCCAGTAATGGAATTCTTTCCATCAAAGTCACTTTTTATTTCTAAAAGTAATCACATATATATTATATTCCTACTGTGGCCCTTGCCATGGATCTACGAAAAATATGACATAGTCAAAATAGACCAAAACATCTGGCCTTGTTGTAACCAATGGGAAACACAGTTGGGAGGTCCCTACTTGCATGTCACTTGCTTCAGGTACCGTTCCTTGATTCCTAAGTGGGGGACCTTTTTTCCTAAATACAACTATAGCTTGCTTTCTTACCTCTTACGCCCTTTTTATCTGCAGTCTCGCCTACCCTACTAAGGTCTTTAAATGCAGAGCTGGATCTTCTTCCATTATTGTATCTCCAGCACCTATAAAACATTCCTGTTAAATAGTAGACATTTAATAAGTATTTATTGATAAGCGTGAATTATGCCTCAATGTTTAGGCTAAATTCATATGAAAATAAAATTGAAAAAATAATTTTAAAGAACAGCATTAGTTACTGAGATTATGTGATAAATCCCTTAAAATATAATCTTGCATTGAAATAGTTTTCACCATTTACCAATCTTTATATGAATATATACTCATCTAAATGGAAATTGGGAAATTTAAGCATTTTCTGCTTTTCCAAAGTAAATTTTCTAATGTTTTTCCTAAAGCTGAACTAAATTGGAAAACTTGCTTTAATAAAGTGTGTATTTTTGCATCATTTAAGCCCCTGACCACTTTATGTTCTTTAAATTTGATTCATTAGTGAAATTAACAAGGTTCTGTGTTTTTCTCACCTCATTCAGTTTTATAATTAACCAATAAAAGCTTATTAGCTTTTAAGGAAGTTTTAGGAACTTAAATTGATTTATGGGCACCATATGGTTACATCAAAGGACTTGTTTTTGTTTTAACTGAAAGTGGATTCTTAAGTCCTTTAAGATGGACATTTATGTTCTTTCTATTATACCAAGCAATACTTTCTGAAATAGAGTGATTTTTTTTTTTTTATTCCATGCTACCATTTGGTCATGAGATTCAAATACTAGATACTAGATTACAGATATTAGAATCTTGTAATTCATCTGGTTTAATACCTGTCATTTTGTAGAAAGGTTGAATGTCTTCCCAAGGTCATACAGCTAATCAGTGGTATATTCAAACCCCAAATCCTAGGCTTTCTATCTGAAGTCCATTGCTTATAAAGTTGTTAGCTATGTGTTCTGACTTTGTTGATTCAAATAAGTAAGCTAAATAAATTGAAGCCATTAATAGATTTATAAAGTTATTTGCTATATTGTTCTTACGTCATTGGTTCATGTAAGTAGGTTTGTGTGACAGCTAATTCTTAAAAACTTATGAAGATGTTAGACTTCTTTTGATATATAATATATATGTTGATTGTATGAACAGATTGACATCAATATAATTATTCATTATAAAAGATTTGAGTGGGAACTCACCAGATCCCACACCAAAAAAATTTAAAATTTTACCATAGTAAAAAAAATAAAAAGCAAGATGAAATTATACATAGTTCTTGGTGTGGTATTTTTAATTTTTATTTATTTATTTTTACAGAAATGGGGTCTTACCATTTTGCCAGGCTGTTCTCAAACTCCTGGCCTTAGGTGATCTGCCTGCCTCGGCCTCCCAAAGTGCCAGGATTATAGGCATGAGCTACCATGCCCAGCCGGTGTAGTATTTTTAAATTTTACTTAATGCTGAGCCATTTTCAAATAACCTCATCACATTATGACCTCATGCAAGAACCATCTCTTCTATCTTTCAGTGTAGTTGTGCTTTAATATCTTAGAAGCTATTGCATTCTGTCCTGTTTTGGAATGTTTTATGCTTTCACAGTCTTAACCATTGCTTCTTAATATCACTTCCGAGGAATAGCTGGTGCAAAGAACATGTGATAAGGAATGGAAAACAATTGATGACGGAAACAGAGATTTGGGGTTAATTGCATTCTTAAAATATAATGATGTTCTTTCTAATAAAATGTACATTTCACATAATTTTCCTCTTTCAGAAGTAACCATGGTTAATCATTCTTTAAACCAGGTTCGTTTCCAACAAAAGAAATGAAATAATAACTAAATTCTAACCATAGTAATCATGTAATATTAAAGATATTATTTATGGGATTAGTTGAAAGCCCTCTTTATCTTGCTTAGGGGTTTCCAATAATCAAATCAGTGCTGGACTTTTTTTTTTTTTTTTTAAAGGCATGGCTGCCCCCCTGTTAATAATATATTTAATTAAAAGCTTTACAAAATGATCCTAATATACTTGAAATACTTAGAGGGCTGCAGTTTATAAAATCAAGAGTCTACCTTGTTGCTGTTTCATTTTTTTTTTTTTTTACCATAACCCTCAGAAAGAATACAATTGACATCACAGTCCTATATATAAATGTGTGTTTATGTGTGCCATCGTAAACATCACTGCACTAGGTGGCAATCTTCACTACTATTCATTTGTATATGTGTAGTCAACCAACAAAAGGAATCATTAGAAACAGGGTAGGAATGTTGAAACTTAGAACTGGAAGTTGCCAGAGAAAATACGTGCCCTGGCCAACTCCACAGGACTGGTTCTAGGCAATCTGAAGGAAACCACAAAATGTGAATCTCTCTTCCCTCAAAAAGCTATACTGAAGTAGTATTTAATATTCAAGTACTTGTAAATTTGCAGAACAGTACTTTTTAATTTGACCCATGAATTCTGTTTAAATTTGTCACTTAATATTTAGCCAAGAAGCAAACCATCTAAAAAGGTGTCTAATTTATTTCTCCAACTCCTAATAAATAGGGTCACATATTTTTTAACTTTTTTCTAATTTGAAAAGTATACAGGTATGTAGTATTTTAAAAATGAAACAACACAAAGGGATATGTTTTGAAAAGTGGTTCTTGCCATCCCTGAACTATAATCATCCCTAACATATTCATACCTGTTTTCATTTTAAAACTTGCATCCGTTTTTTTATTAGTACCTGTATTTCTATCCTACTGATTTATTTGTGATATCATCTAATTTAGTTTCAATATTGCATAATTTACTTAATTAGTCCTCCATGGAGACCTGGCTCTTCTCAATGTCTTACTATTGTAAACAATGTTACAGTGAATATTGTTGTATATAAATCCATGCACACCACATAACATATCTTAAATTCCTGGAAGAGATATTGCTAAACCAGAAGATAACCTGCATTTAAAATTTTGACTGCTAGGGTCAGGGTCACATTTTAATGAAATTAGAACAAAGGAATTGCCTAATTTTCTTTGATAGCAATCTATTCCAGTATGCACCGTGAGTCACAAAGGAAAGCAAAACTGTCAAGAACTTTCTTCTCGGACTTTTGGTTTAATGTGTTCTGATGGGTTAATAATTTGTCTCATTTCTCTTCATAATAATGACCTTAAGAATATATGTACCCCACTCTTTCCAGAATTAACCACAACTTTTCACAGTAACTGAATCAATGCCACAATGGTACATTCAACCAGTGGGGCTTCAGGATGTGAAATAGACAATATTAGTTCTGGGTCACTGTTACTACCAAATACTTTCTTGACCCTTTAAGTCTGTATATTTTTATCTGTAAAGTGACATCCATAGATGTCACTGTACACTTCATAGAAATGAGTACACAGAAAAATACTCATGGCAGGGCTGGGTGCGGTGGCTCATGCCTATAGTCCCAGCACTTTGGGAGGCTGAGGCAGGCAGATCACTTGAACCTGGGAGGCAGAGGTTGCAGTGAGCCGGTATCTCGCCTCTGCACTCCAGCCAGGGTGACAGAGCAAGACCCTGTCTCAAAAAAAAAAAAGGAATAATACTTATGGCACCACTGGCCACACTGTAAAATTCAGGTTCAGAAAAACAGGATAAGTCACAGACAGCAACCCTTCCAGCATTTATTTTCTTTGCATCCATATGCAATTTGAGAAAATTTACTTTTAGAAAGAACTCTGTTAAAGGTACAGACAATACAGTACTTTTTATTCAGAAGGTTTCTGCATAAAGGTGATAGTCTTTTGACTTAATATATTCTTGTCTCCTACGTTGTGTTTTTGGAATGAATTAAGATCATTATTTAGAGGATAATAATCTGGGTTATATTTGTGTCGTCAGATTGAATTTTCATTGCACATGCTACATAATGTCAATTATTATAACCAAATAATAACAAAGGGAAAGAAAACCAAATATGGATGTATAATAAGGAAAAGCTGGCCTATAGAAAATACCAAACCAGGTAACAGTAGCAAAGTTTAAGCCAATTTTATTTTTAAAATGTCATGTACGTGGAAAAACATTTAACTTTAGTTTTCTTTGGGTGGTGGTTAAAAGTTATAAGTGATTAAAAGTTGTTTTCTTTTTCTACAATGAACATGATGTGACCTTGCAATTTAAAAAGCCAACGCCCTTTTAAGAAAGGTATGTCTATCAGTATTCCTCCAACTTCATTTTCTCTCGTTTCTTCCTCCCTCACTTTTCTAAGTTTTTCTTCATTAACCTCATTTTTCTTTAGCTTGTTTGCATGCTTCCTTGCTTTTGTTTTTTTGTTTTTCCTGGGTATGATAGAGAATTAGTCCCACTCTCCAAGTATGTAAATCAAGGAGTGAATTTTCAAGTAGACAAAAATGATTTACAGCATCCCTGCGTTCTCTACCCATCTCTGCATTTGTTAACTTTTGTTTTTAGCTGGGAAAAAGCCAGTTACCACCATTTTAACGTTTCAGGTGTTCTTGATTCATTTTGAAAACCTGACTGATTAAAGAAATAAGGATAATCCTCCATGAATTATCCTGAACTGACTTATAATATATTGTTTGAATCCCTGTTATGAGCTTCTGTTTCTTTAACAATATTTTGTAAAGTATGTTTCACATAACAGCAGATAATCACCAGAATGGGAGTGAATGACTTGTGGCAAATTTTGGAGCCTGTTAAGCAACACATTCCCTTGCGTAATCTTGGTGGGAAAACCATTGCAGTTGATCTGAGTCTCTGGGTGTGTGAGGCACAGACAGTCAAAAAAATGATGGGCAGCGTCGTGAAGCCCCACCTCAGGTATAGTGAAAGTTCTTAGAGTATCAATGTATGATGTATAAATAGTTTTGATGTCTTGATTTTGTTTTACCTTTTTTTTCTTTTGTTGTTGTTATTCTTTTACATTTTGAGGTTTCAAGATCTGTTTAACATGTCTAGATTCACCATCTTTATATTAAGGACTCAGATTTGTATCTCATACCCTTTGAGCTCCAGACTCACATATCTATCTCCTACTTAACGTATCCGCTAGGATGCTTCAGATACTAAAAGCCAGAGATTTGGGAGACATTTTCTCCCTATTCTACTTCTCTCCACATCAGTAAGTCTTGCTAGTTCTACCTCCAAAATATACTTTGTGTTCACAAACTTATCTCAGTGGCCAGAGGCACCCAACCACCTTAGTCTATGCCGACCTCATCTCTCATCTGTACTCCTGAAGTGCCATCTTCACTAGTTTCTTGCTCTTGGCCACCCCTACCTCAAACCATTTTCCACATAGCAATTAGAATAATCATAAATCTTTGTTGCTTAAAAATATTCAGTGGTTTGGCTGGGCGCAGTGGCTCACGCCTGTAATCCCAGCACTTTGGGAAGCCGAGGTGGGTGGATCACGAGGTCAGGAGTTTGAGACCAGCCTGGCCAAGTTGGAGAAACCCCATCTCTACTAAAAATAAAAAAAAATTAGCTGGATGTGGTGGCGGGTGCCTGTAATCCCAGCTACTTGGGATGCTGAGGCAGGAGAATCTCTTGAACCTGGGAGGCGGAGGTTGCAGTGAGCCGAGATCACGCCACTGCACTCTAGCCTGGGCAACAGAGTGAGACTCTGTCTCAAAAAAAAAAAAAAAAAAATCAGTGTTTTTGGCCAGGCACAGTGGCTCACACTTGTATTCCTAGCATTTTGTGAGGCTGAGATGGGCGGATTATTTGAGCTCAGAAGTTCAAGACCAGCCTGGGCAACATGGTGAAACTCCATCTCTACAAAAAATACAGAAAGTTAGCCGGGCATGGTGTCACACACCTGTAGTCCCAGCTACCTGGGGACTGAGGCAAGAAGATCGCTTGAGCCAGGAGGTTGAGGCTGCACTGAGATGAGATCATGCCACTGCACTCCAACCTGGGTGACAGAGTGAGACTCTTGTCAAAGAAAAAACAAAAAAGTGGTCTTCCACTCTAATTAAAACCTTAAGTAAAATGTTATTACATTAAAGTTTTTGATACTAGTCTAATGTTCTTGCCTTTATGTTATACTATTTTGACTTTTACTATGAGTGTATGATGATTAATATGTTACTAATTTATATATTTCAGGAACTTATTTTTTCGTATCTCATATTTAACACAAATGGATGTAAAACTGGTGTTTGTTATGGAAGGGGAACCACCAAAGCTGAAAGCTGATGTCATAAGCAAGAGGAATCAGACTCGGTATGGGTGTTCTGGAAAATCGTGGTCTCAGAAAACAGGGAGATCACATTTTAAATCAGTCTTAAGAGAGGTGAGCATTCAGATTTGATTCAGTAATTCTGATTTGATTTAAAGGGTACATTTTACTCTTAATAGTTTGTCATCTTTTATACTTATTAATTTTATTGTGACTAGCCAGCCAGTGTGCATAGAGAAAAGAGCTTATTTTTTAGAGTGAAATTGACCTGAGTTTCATTCCTGGCACTGGCATGTAGAAACTCTGAGACATTGAGCAAAATTTGTAACCTGTCTCTACCTTGTATGCTATCTTGTGAAATGACAACAGTAATACTCAGCCCGGATGAGATAAAAATAAGAGAAAGTATATCCAAAGCAACTAGTACATAGTAGGAACTTGATCATATTACCTTTTATAACACCTTCAGGACTTAAAGAATTCCCAGAATACATGAAATCTCATTAATTCACACTTCACTTATTCAGAATTCATGATAGTTCATATACAGAATACATATTTGGCTTCCCTTAGGGCTTGTAATTTTAAAAACTAATTATTGTTACATTACAATGTATTCTTTGTATGTTACTTTAATATTGCTATATTTTATATTTGTATAAAACTTAAGAAACAAATCGCCTATAATGTATAATTAAAACAATAGGAAGGTTTTTTTTTTTTGTCTGTGTGTTTTTTTTTTTTTTTTTGAGAAGTAGTCGCGCTCTGTCGCCAGGCTGGCGTGCAGTGGCGCGATCTCGGCTCACTGCAGGCTCCACCTCCCGGGTTCTCGCCCTTCTCCTGCCTCAGCCTCCCGAGTAGCTGGGACTACAGGCACCCACCACCACACCCAGCTAATTTTTTTGTGTGTTTTTTAGTAGAAACCATGTTAGCCAGGATGTTTCACCATGTTAGCCAGGATGGTCTCCATATCCTGACTTTGTAATCCACCCGCCTCAACCTCCCAAAGTGCTGCGATTACAGGCGTGCGCCACAGCGCCTAGCCTTTTGTGTCTGTTTTCAAGTGTGTGTAAAGAGTTGTAGTGGTACACATGATTTTTAACCTGGCCTTTTCACTTAATGCTTCATGTTGTCATATCTCCCTTTTGTCACACTCTTATCGAAATCATAACTTGTAGTGGTTGTGCAACATGTATGAAGCTATGAATCATACACCTGATTGTATATGTTATTTACTTTTTTAGTTTTTCTCTACTATACATGAAAGTGTGATGAACATTTTTTGTGTATATAATGTTTTCTTGTGATTTGAAATTTCAGATAAAATTACCCAATGTTGGATTGATGGGTGAAAGTTTTGGAATGATTTTATTGCTCTTGCTGGTTAATTTCTGCTAATACAGATGTCAGAGAAGCAGTGTCAGTGCATTCACAAGAACATTGGATGTTAGGAGGCTTGTCTTTGTAATATTTTGTGTGCAACAACAAAGATATTTAATATGCATTTGTCTTTTAATAGTAACGTTAAACATTTCACCTGTTTTTAGTCCCCCTTTGGGTAATGGCTATCATGTCCTTCACCCACTACCGCTTGAGGTTTTAATTTTTCTTTTGTGCAAGTTCTTTGTGTTTTAAGGATACAAGCTTTTATCATATTTGAATTTGTTTTTCTTTTTAATTTTAGTTAAAAAAAATTATGCCATTTTTCTCCTCTTCTGAAATTTTATTTTCTACGCTTACGTTTAAAAATAGTTTTCAATTAGTGAATATTCCACCTTAATGACTATCAGCAGTTGAAGAAAATATCTGTGCTGAGTCAATCAGTTCCTGGAAATATTCATGGTCCTCAATCTTAGAGTGTTAAAGAACCAGCATAAAACAGAAAAAGAGATGTCCGTGTCTTCTTAAGAAAATTGCTCCATTCCTGTTTCTTTATTGCTGCAGTAATTACGGTGTTCTTAGGCATTTTGTGTCAGTTCAGTATTGCCTATTCGTCATTTTTATATTTCTGTACTCTTCAGTTACTAGGCCCTGCTTCCTCCTAATCCACTGCCATCTTTTAGGTATTAGCATGAAAAGCACAAATTAGTCCTCCTCCAGTACCACTTCCACCCCACATGGTAGAGACATAGAGTGGGAAAAATTGCAACAGCCTTATAGGAAACTCTGTGCTGGTTCTTTGAAAAAATTTGAAGTGGCAAATAGTATAAGAAGTTGAAATAACTGTATTATGAAAGGCTACTTTTTACCTAGGGGTAAGGCAGAAGCAACACTGTCACAAAACTGTCTCTCTAAATTCACGGGGCCAGCGTCCTGAAAAGCAATATTTTTCAACATAGTACTTTGACTTTTTGAACCTTGACCACCTTGGTGGATAGAGGTATTTATTATGTAATGTGGCGTGGAAGTCAAAGCAAGAGATAATATTTATTCTCTCAGCCTCTAGAAACTACAAGTAAGTAGCCTTTTCTCTCCACCATACTCAGTAGTCCCTGATAGACAAAAAGGAATGGTGTATGACAAGAAAGAATGAACTAGGCTATAAGGCTACTAGACTACTAGCTACCCAGCTGGGTTTAAATCATAAACCAAAGGAAACTCACAGCAAATTATTTGTACATCAGCATAATGATGTAATCATTCTACACAAACATTTGATTTCCTAGGAGGACACTGACAGCTGACTCCTCCACAGTTTCCCACAATATGAGAGTTTCATTGTACAGGGAAGGCAAGATGAGAAAAAGATGCAAACATTAAAATTCAAGCCAAAACTGTATGATAGCATCTTCTTTGAAAGTATGCATATTGGGTTGACCATCATGTGAGAAAAATTATTGAAGTTTTGTAGATGTAAAATTTTTTTTTTTTTTTTTTTTTTTGAGACGGAAGTCTCGCTCTGTCACCAGGCTGTAGTGCACTGGTGCGATCTCGGCACACTGCAACCTCCACCTCCTGGGTTCAAGTGATTCTCCTGCCTCAGCCTCCCAAGTAGCTGGAATTACAGGCATGCACCACCATGCCCAGCTAATTTTTTTATTTTTAGTACATGTTGGCCAGGATGGTCTCAATCTCTTGACCTCGTGATCTGCCCGCCTCAGCCTCCCAAAGTGCTGGGATTACAGGCGTGAGCCACCGCACCCAGCTCTTTGTAGATGTAAATCTTAAGGTGATTAATTATTATTTAAAGATATTTTCAGAATCTGACGATAATAGCAATGAAATGTGAATATGGATTACTTTGTAATTTACATTAAAATCTTAATTTTTTATTACAGAAAAATTTAAATCAACACAAAAGTAACCCATTACCAATCTTAAACCGTTATCTTGGCTCATCTTGTTTCATCTATTCCCCTACCCACACATCATTTTGAAGCAAATCCTAGACATAATATTGTATCATTCCCAGTATTTAATCTTTTCTAAAAGATGATTCCTAAAAAATAAAAAGAAACATAACCACAATGTAATTTTTATTAGCACACCTAAAAGTTTGGCAGTTCATTCCTTAAAGCCCTCAAATATTCAGTCATTATTCAAATTTCCAAGTGTTTCTTAAATATCGTAATTTTTAAAACACCAAAATACCTACTATTAATATTTGTAATACAGAAGTACGTTTAATAGTAAACAAATGAGCAGTGAAGACATTCTCTAACATCTTGCTTTTGGTTTTCAGTGCCTCGATATGCTCGAATGCTTAGGAATCCCCTGGGTTCAGGCTGCCGGGGAAGCTGAAGCCATGTGTGCTTATCTCAATGCTGGTGGTCATGTCGATGGCTGCCTCACCAATGATGGCGATACTTTCCTTTATGGGGCCCAGACTGTTTACAGGAATTTCACTATGAATACAAAGGTGTTTATTTTCTTTCTGTTTTTCAGCATTTGTTTACGAACTTTTTTAAAGGGCTGATTAAATGAAATACTAGATATAAAATGCCTACTGTAATGCCTTGCACATAGCAATTGCTAAATAAAATGTTTACTATTATTAAAAATCATTGCCATGTAGTTCATTGTCTTCAAAATATAGATTTATCTCATAAGAACTTGACTTGTTTGTTTCACATGGTTTGATTCTAAATCAGTTTCAAAAATACATCATGAATTGCATATGAAAATGTGTTGCTTTGATCCTGAATTTCCAGTTTAGTATTTCATCCTCAGAAATACCTCCAAATATGCAAAGAGAGAGATATAAAGATGTTCACTGTAGCATTGTTAATAATTACAAGAATTTGGCAAGCAACCCAAGTGTTCATTGATAGGGACATGGTTAAATACTTCACACTTACTGGTTCCCAGTTGGAGAGATACCACCGGGAGACATTTTGGTTGTAACAGTTCAGGCTTGGGCAAAGGAGACTATAGATATGTGGTGGCTTGGTGCCAACCAAACTAAACATTCTGCCAGACATTTCTGTTATCCCTCCCAAAATGCTAATATTAGCACCCCCATTGAGAAACACTGTTTCAGAGTCCATATGATGTAATACAGTACGGTCATTGCAAAGGCTATTATTGACATAAAAGATATCCAGACATATTAATGTTGGAAAATGTCTCAAAATAGTATTTTTATATAATCCTACTTTTACTTAATGTAATTAACAATAAATATTCATATATATGTGTCAAAGAAGATGGTTTTTTGGAATAATATGTACCAAGCTATTAATGATAGTTTAGGCAGTGCAATTACAGGGAATGTTTACTTTCTATAATATATATATGTTACAGTGTTTTGTAAGATGGAAATCTGTATTTTTTAGACACCAGAAAGCAATAAAATGGAAAAAAATTGGCTACCATAGTTATTTTTAAGCCATTTTTGAAACTACAACTTTATTTCCATATATTGAAATGTCAGATTCTATAAAGATTCTGCTGATCAGGATAGTTTTCTTATATAAATTTTTTGGAATAAACTTTTTTTCTTTTTTGAGACGTAGTCTCACTGTGTCACCCAGGCTGAAATGCAGTGCTGTGATCTCAGCTCACTGCAACCTCCTCCTCCCGGGTTCAAGTAATTCTTGTGCCTCAGCCTCCCGAGTAACTGGGACTGCAGGCACGTGCTACCACACCTGGCTAACTTTTTTGTATTTTTAGTAGAGAGGGGGTTTCACCATGTTAGCCAGGCTGGTCTCAAACTCCTGACCTCAAGAGATCTGCCCGCCTTGGCCTCTCAAAGTGCTGGGATTACAGGCATGAACCACCGTGCCTGGATGACAGAGCAAGACTCCGTCTCAAAAAAACAAAAAAAAAACAATTATTTTTGTAATGTTGTTTAATGTATAAATATGTACTTTTTAAGGATTAAACTAAATCTGTTCTTTCTTTAGGACCCACATGTTGACTGTTACACAATGTCAACTATCAAGAGTAAACTAGGTTTGGACAGAGATGCTCTGGTTGGATTAGCAATACTTCTTGGTTGTGATTATCTCCCAAAGGTAAGCTGAAATTGTCATATTTACTTGCTATTCATAAGTCTTTTTCATACCTTATGTGCTGTATAAATATGAATATAATATGGCTATATGATTAAAAATTGAATTTAAAATATAATTTCAGGCATAATAAGCTATTCAGTGACTAAAATAATCAGCATTTCAGATGGCACTAAAAAGCTGACTTGTGACACTTAATATTATAAGCAAGAATAGAATAATGTAGTACCACAGCTTGAATCTCAGTAAACTGCTACTCTAGATTAAGAGATTCACATTTATGTTTGACTATCTTTTTAAATAAATATAGGAGTTATTCTTTTCTTGTATTATGCCATTGTTAGTTTCTTTCCCCCTTTTTTCTATTTTTTAGTGTTCTGTATTCTTTGTGCACATGCTCAATGCTATTACTGTTGCTAAGTCACGTGATCATTGGGATAAGCCATTCATATTTCCATGCCTCTCAGCATTGTGCTGGGTTTTGTTCATGGAAATACTTTATTTATATCTTAAGATGCACAATCTAGTGCTCTGTAACAAATAGGTATAACAGGTGAGTGATGAGTTAATTATTATGAGAATAATCCCATTTTCTTAAATGTAGTGTTTAAAAATATAAAATGATTGGTATTGTAGATCTTACTATGTAGTTCCCTTATTATGTTCCTACTGATTATTTCTATAGCCTTACAAATCCCTCATCAGAAATTGTGATAGGAATATACATTAAGGCATATCATTTTTGCATATTGGAAATTCACACTTTAAATTTTCTTAAGTTTTTAATTTCAAGAGTTAGAACATTCCTTTGTTCTCTGTTTATGTCTGGGTTTTGGAATATGAAATGTTCATGTAATGAAATGAACTTGCTTTTTCCTGATTACAAACATAGAGTTAGGTTATAGGTTAAATTAAAATATTATCCAAATAATTAACATAGTAAATGAAAGCCCTCTAAAATTATGACCCTGCCTTCCCTAAAATAAACACCATCAGTGGTTTGGTATATAACTCTGAATTTTTTATTTACATAGATATCAGTGTAATTGTCATTTACTTTACAAATCCTGATCATATACACTATTGTGCAGTTTTTGTTTTATGCATAGCAATGTATCTTGCACATGTTTTCCTATCTTTATTTAAGAGTTACCTCATTCTTTCTTTCAGCTGCAGACTCTTCCATTCAATTAATGTACTTTTAACCATTCCTAGTGATTAACATTGGAATTATTTTTTTTCCACTTTCTGAAAGGGAGTCCCTGGAGTTGGAAAAGAGCAAGCATTAAAACTTATACAGATTTTGAAAGGGCAAAGTTTACTTCAGAGGTAACTAATAATTACTTTCTCTTGCAACATTGAACTTTTATTCTTGCTGAACTTAATAATGAATAGTACAAAAAACAATTGTTTTCCAAAAAAGGGTTTTGTATTTTTAAACTGACCTATATTTTGATTTAAGATAATTTATTTTTATTTATTTTGAAATTTTCCAAAGGAAGGATGAGAATACATGTTCTAAGCCGTACTGCATTTTTTTTTTTTTTTCTTTTTTGGAGACAAGGTCTCACTGTGTTGCCCAGGCTACAGTGCAGTGGCGCAATCACTGCTCACTCCAGTCTCAACCTGCTGGGGTCAAGTGATCCTCCCACTTCAGCCTCCTGAGTAACTGGGACAACAGATATGCACCACTGCGCCCAGCCACCAAACTGCGTTTAAAATATATATATTATTTATATTAAACATGTTAATATATTAATTTTTAAAATTTTTTTTGTAGAGATAGGGTCTCCCTATGTTGCCCGGGCTGATCTTGAACTCCTGGGCTCAAGTGATCCCCCGCCTTGGTTTCCCAAAGTGTTAGGATTACATGCGTGAGCCACGGTGCCTAGCCACTATACTGCATTTTAAAAAATCTTATTAGCTCACTAAACACATTTAATACAATATCAAGTGCATTTATGTACGACCATGGGCATTTTGCCACTAGCTATTTTAAACCCTTTTACCAACAGGTAAAGATAAACATGACATTAAAATAATTTTGTATTTAATACTTTGATATTGTATTTTTCTTTCTTTAAATTAAATGTCTGTGGCATGTTGTAAATATTTAATAATAAGCAACATTAATCGAAATCATACTTGACTGGCCTTTGCTTTATAGCTACATATTTAATACTAACATTAATTAATTTAGTCTCTACAGTTTGAGGATTCAGAACAAGATGCAGACTATATAGAAGTTAACAAGCTATGCTATTTACTGTCTCAAAAACACATGAATTATATTTACTGATGAAAGCAGTGCTTTATAAAAATTAATATTAATGATGATAGGTATAGAATCAATAAGAAAGGAAGTAGGACACTGGGAAACTTAAAATAGTCTTGGCCTCCAGCAGGTTCAAGCTGGCAAGTGCCTGAAAAGAAATGTTAAGAGGTAAAAATGAAAAAGGAATGACCATGAAAAATACATTGAATCACTGTATTCTTTCCTATGATACTTCTCTTTTAGCTGTAAAACTGTTGATAAATCTTAAGACTTCAGTAAATCCATTATTGACATCAGTTATTACTGTGCCAAAGCAAGCACGAAAATGTATACTTTGGCATGGGGGTGAGTTAAGGAATCATTTGGGAATTATAAAAAATAATATAAAGAAGGAAAAGCAAGTGAATATAACAACTGGCTAACTCCAAACCATTCTTATTGAAACAGTTTCAGCAAATAAGCGCTGCTGACACTTGAAAATAATAAAATTACATTTATTTTATAATCATCTTTTATTCTGTTTTATATACTGACTTTTCCTGCCAGTTACTTTTAATTTTTGAAGTGCTATTCTTCATCTGGAAGCAATTAATGCTAATTTTTAACAGGCTTGTACTTGGTCTTTGTAGTAAATGTGTTAGAAATTCCAGAAGCTAAATAGTAACTCTTAAGTACCAGATACTGCACAATGACCTGAAGAGATAATTTAGCTTTTTATAAAAACTTCAACTTGTGTGAGTAGAGGAACATAATTCAGAACACATACGTTTTATGATTAATACCTAACCATATCCTTTGTGGCTTTATGTAACCTGGAACTTTAGCCAAAAACGAAATTAACTTTTAATTAGTGGAAATCTTTATAGTAATATACATTTTTCTTAAAATCTTTTATGAAGCAGGTAATGTTTTGCTCTATGAACAAGAGATTAAGAAATGATCATTTTAGATGATTTAGCTTTTTGATACAGTTTTCACCCAGAAGATTAATGTTTTATTTAATTTTCTACATTACTCTTTACCCTTCTTTCTGAGATAGAGAAATGTTCATGATTCTGTTTTGTACTGTGGCACACAGAGATCAAAAGGAGACATTTACAAATCAGTCTACTCACATATTGCTGCCTAACTTAAGATTCTTAAAAAAAAAAAAAAAGCTGATTGGAGAGAGAGAGAGATATATATATATATATTTTTTAAGAGATACAGATATATAGATATACACACACACATATACTCTCTCTCCTGTCTTGCAGTTCTGCTGTCCTTGGGCCTTGGGGCCACATTTAAAACTTGTGACTGAGGGTTTTCCCATGCTAGGCCAGCAACTTTATCAACCACCCAAGGGAAAATAATTAGGTAGGTGAAAGGGAATAGATCAGCCTGATACTTGAGAACATATCGGTTTTGTGACCTCATTTTTTTTCCTTTTTTTAAAAACCACTTTCTATTAAAGGTTTAATCGGTGGAATGAAACATCTTGTAACTCTAGTCCACAACCACTAGTCACTAAAAAGCTGGCTCATTGTTCTGTATGTTCCCATCCAGGTAAGGAGACATAGGGAATTGTTATTAGTATCTCATACCTATGTTTTAATTCTTGTTCACATAGTACTTTTTACATACCAATGCTAATAATACTTTGAAGGGTTTTACATTGTCTTCTCCACTAGATTGGGAATTCCTTGGAGTCAGTTTTGTTATATACACATAGTAGTCACTCAGTAAATGTTTGTTGAAACCAATAATGTGATGTAGATGATAAATATAGGATAAGTACAGTTTCAAACTATGATACCAAATTAATTAGATCTTAAAATTATGTTTTCAATATAGAAATCCATTTTAAGAAAAAAATATATACTAATAAGTCTTAGGGAAAATGGAACTGAAACCATTTGTTAATATATTGGTGATTTGTATTTATCCACTTAAAAGATTCTTCATTGTCCTATAATGCATTTTAATTGTGTATGAAGACAGTGACCTAAAACTAATTTCTAATGTTTACTATTGTTGAAAATAGCTTAGATCTTGTTCATTAGTCTTGGTTTAAAAAAAAAAAGGGTACCACAGAACACGTACTAGATCAGAAAGGCCTTTGATTCCCAAAAGAGAATAGGATGTCATGTTAACTCATCTTTTAAAAGAAATTCTGCTATATCTAATTGTCTTAATATATTTTATTAACATTATTATAGATAAAATCATGGAAGAAAATAAATGTTTTTATAAGTAAGATGCTATTGTATAGTTTTTTGATAACTTACAAATGACAATTTTAGGTCATATCCAGTATATATGCTCTTACATATTCTCAAGACAATGTTGAAAGTAATCACACTTTCCTTTTAAAGGGAATTAAATTTCCACACCCGTGCCACAGTCATCATTTGTTCATGTTCCAAGGATAGTTTAAAAATAACTGTAACTGAGAGCTAGACACTAGCAGAGGTAATTAACTGCTATATTCTTTTAATACACTCATTAAAGAAACTATTCTATTAGAGCTATTCTATTAAGTAAATAATCTTTTTTTGCCAATAATTACATTCTAGTTTTTATGCATGTAGCTTCTACTTAAACCAGAAAGTTTTCTGTTGTTGATTATTGTAAATGTGTAATTTCAAATGTCTAATTAACACTTTCAAATAGAAGAATAATTTTTTCTAAAGTGTCATGTGATAGTAATAGTTCAAGATCTACTTGAGCCCAAGAATTACTATGGTGTCTATTACTCTATTCATCCTAAATGTATTGAAACCTTTCTATATGCTAGGTAGTGTGCTAGGCAATATTAATTTTGGAAAATGTAGATACAGGCAAAAAGAATGTATGTGGAAAGTAATTATAAAAGGCAAAAGATACACTTTTTTTGGGTCTCCATAAAGGTTCACCTAAGGATCATGAACGTAATGGATGCAGATTATGTAAAAGTGATAAATATTGTGAGCCACATGACTATGAATACTGCTGCCCTTGTGATTGGCACCGCACAGAACATGATAGGCAACTCAATGAAGTAGAGAACAATATGAAGAAGTAAGTTTGTTTAAAAACTCATTTTTCCTGGCATGACTTATACACATACCTTTGGTTGAATTATTTCCACATAATCTTTCCTCACTTGTCTAGACTAGTCATATGTTTAACAAAACTTTTTTTCATTTCTGTTCGAAAACTTAGCTAACCTAGGAGATAGTAATGTAATAGTTATTCCAAGAGAAACTTGACTGTTCGGGATACTGTAAATTCACATTTCTTATTAAATGGGAGGAGATTGACTGAGATGATTTCAGAGTCTAAAATTGTCTGATTATAGTAATAACATATATATAATTTTTTTTTTCAGGAAAGCTTGCAGTTGTGAGGGATTCCCATTCCATGAGGTAATATCCAGTAATTCAACTGTATTAATTGTAGAAACTTTCTTAGAAGTTTAAGTCTCAATTCCTATTTTCTTTTTTCTTGCTAGGTTATTCAAGAATTCCTTTTAAACAAGGATAAATTGGTGAAGGTTATCAGGTACCAAAGACCTGATTTGTTATTGTTTCAGGTATCTGAAAATAAATTCTTGCTTTACCATATGAAGTTATATGCTGGTAAGATAGGAACAGGTATTCACTCTGATTGGTGTGAGAGGAGGTTTAAACTTAAGACAGGCAGCTCTTATATTTTTTCAGCATTTATTTCTAATCTCTCATTTGCCATACAGTAGCCATACTTTGCACACTATAAGACAAAGTACAGTTATGCTGTTTTAGAAGATGCCTTAATTAGCATACGTGGATATATTGCATCCAAGGATATTTTGGGGGAAGAGGGTTTAATAACAAGAGAATGTCAAGATCAAGTATATAATTATGGAAGGTAGTATCATTTACAAAAAACATTGAGATCTGAAATTAATGATCTAAATTTAAATTTGGACCATATTCCATTTACTGTGTGACCCTGGATGTGTATTATTCTCAAAATAGAAATAATATTATCTCATGAAGTCACCATGAGGATTAAATGAGATTATATTAACTCCTAATATAGTGGCTAGGGACATGGAGTGGTTCAATAAATTGCAACAGCTGGGTACTTACAAGTATTAATAATGGCAGCCAACATTTATTAGACATTAAAATTTGCTGTTATGTTTAACGCGTTACATGTAATCTCAGTCTTTATAATCTGTGAACTGGGTTATAATATTTTCACATTACAGATGGTAAAGCTGAGGCTAAGAGAGGTTAAGTGAGTTACCCAACATCTAAGAAATATCATCCTGGTGTTCAAACCGAGAGCCTTCACTCTTAATCATTGTACAATAATGATTCTTCTTTAGGAGGCTTATTCTTTCTAGAATATTCTCATTGATACTACTTTAACTTATGTTAATTCTAAAGGAAAAATTATTAATATCACCTGGGAGTGCTATTTGTCTCCAAGAGGTAACAAAATCTTGTTTTATTTTTATTATATTTACAGAGATTTACTCTTGAAAAAATGGAGTGGCCCAATCACTATGCATGTGAGAAATTGCTGGTACTTTTGACCCGTTATGACATGATAGAAAGAAAGCTTGGTAGCAGAAACTCTAATCAACTACAGCCAATTCGGTAATGTAAAGAACCGTATGGTGAAGATGGAGTTTTTACTTGAATATCTTATAATTAAAATATTCCTAATATCTTTAAGCTTGTTTTTGTAAAGGTGGAGGAAAGGCCTCCTGGAATATTAAAAGCTTATAATCAGAACAACATAGTAAGTCATGCTTTATCATACTTTTCTACTTCAAACACATAGTAATAATAGATTATAAAAAGAAACAAGCATAAAAGGATATAGCCAGCCATTATAAGACAACTGTTTCAGTGGACCAGGAAAGGAACAAACGTGTAAAGGTAATGCGGGACCTAAAACTGGTTTTGCACAGCTTTAAATTTAGAAGCCAGCAGTATCATCCAGGAGATAAATCACTTCAGAGAGAAAAAAAAAAAAAAACAGGGACCAAAAGTGCAAGATGTTGATGGAGTCAGACTTATTTCTTGAAACCCAGTAGGTAGAGTGGAATTTCTATGTTCCTATCAGGAGATAAGAGGCTGGGGTAGACAATAAAAAACTAACCAAATGCTGCCTGAAACCCAGAAAGCCTACTGGAAGTCATTCAAAAAGACTAGAGAGATAGAAGTGAAGACAGACAAAATATAAAAGAATTGAAGAAGAAAGCTTAACATATAAAGAAATACAATATTTTAAAAATCAAAAGTCATGAATTCACTTTAGATTAAGTTTTAAAACAGTCTGACAGGTTTTATGCAAGGGGTGAGTGTGGTTGGCCTTTCAGAATGCTAGAATCCTCAAAAAGATGAAGACATATGTCTGTAAGCAACAGAAGGCAAAATTATAAAAGTGTATGTAAATGGATGGATATAAAAAGTGAACTATTAGCTTAAAAATAGATGATGAAATAAAAAGCAATAAAGGGGACTCTAGGCTGAACTTGGTCAAAAAAAAATTAGTAATTTGGAAGAGAAATCTTTTCAAAGACTCTCATAAAAAATGCTTAAGAATAGTTTTGGATTAATTCCTAGAAGCTAATAAAAGAAAAGGTTGAAAAGTAATTTTGAGGCCGGGCGCGGTGGCTCAAGCCTGTAATCCCAGCACTTTGAGAGGCCGAGACGGGCGGATCACGAGGTCAGGAGATCGAGACCATCCTGGCTAACACGGTGAAACCCTGTCTCTACCAAAAAATACAAAAAACTAGCTGGGCGAGGTGGCAGGTGCCTGTAGTCCCAGCTACTCGGGAGGCTGAGGCAGGAGAATGGTGTAAACCCAGGGGGCAGAGCTTGTAGTGAGCTGAGATCCGGCCACTGCACTTCAGCCTGGGCGACAGAGCGAGACTCCGTCCCAAAAAAAAAAAAAAAAAGAAGAAAAGTAATTTTGAAAAGATGATGTCTGAGAGTTTTCCAAAATTTAAGACAGATAAAGTTATACTCCAAATTATAGTCACAATACATAAAATACCCAAGGCATATTGTAGACATCAACGATAAAAGGAGTATCTTAAAAAGTACCAAACCAATCAGGCAACAATCATCAATGGATGTTAAAACCATTAGATGAAAGATTGCTGGAGAGAAAGGATAGTCACAGTCTCAAGTACCACTCTACAAATTAATTACAAAGGAAAAATGATGTCTTCAAAAGTGGAGGAGTCCAGTGGACGTCAGTTTAACTAAATGATTAATTTCCAATAAAAGGACAATAGTCTGATTTCATATGCTTTCTAATATGTTAAACTGAGAAAGATACCACATTATATAATATTTTTGCCAAAAAAGCTTGAGCTAGGCAGGGCATGGTGGCTTGCACCTGTAATCCTAGCATTTTGGGAGGCTGAGGCCAGTGGATCGACTGAGCTCAGGAGTTCAAGACCCATCTCTTCCAAAAATACAAAAAAGTAGCCAGGCATGGTGGAGAGCACCTGTGATCCCAGCTACTTGGAAGGCTGAGTTGGGAGGATTGCTTGAGCCTGGGAGGTGGAGGTTGCAGTGAGCTGAGATCACACCACTGCACTCCAAACTGTGACAGAGTGAGACCCTGTCTCAAAAAAAATAAATAAATAAAATAAAGTTTAATCTGTATCTAATCATGAGGAAATACTCTAATGAATCCAAGTGAAAACCATTCTGTGGAGCTATTATGCTGGACTCTTCAAAAATGAAACAAAAAAAATCTAGGTAGTTTTTCTGGGTTAAAATAAAGAGACAACACAATTCGAGAAAAATGATCCTGATTGAATTCTGAATTGTTTTTAAGTCATAAAGGACCTTTTTTTTAGGACAATTGGGGAAATGTGAATATGGTCTGTATATTGTATCAGTGTTAAACTTCCAGAGTGTGATAGTTTTTTGTGGCAGTGTAGGGAAATACTCTACATAGGCTGCAGTATTTGGGGGCGATGTGCCATGAGACGTGTTTGCAACTAACTTGCAAATGGAGAAAGCAAATGTGATAAAATGTTAACAATTGATGAATCTCAGTAATAGCATGTGAGTATTCATTGTACTATTTCTGCAACTTTTATAAAGGTTTGAAATTTTTCAGAATAAACAGTTTGCTGGGAACTATCAAAGGAAAAAGATCAACTATCTGATAGCACACATCTTTCATAACAGTAATAGATGCCAGAAGATGCTGGAGTGATGTTTCAAAGTACCGAGTAAAAATAATTTACAACCTTGAAATCATTAAAACATCATTCATAGGAAAAGCGTTTTTAAACATATGAAGACTAAGAGAGTTTACCACTCATAAACCTTCCTTAAAAGTGCTGTTAAAGGGCTGGGCGTGGTGGCTTATGCCTGGATCAGCAGCACTTTGGGAGGCCAAAGCAGGCGGATCACTTGAGGCCACGGGTTCTAGACCATTCTGGCCAACGTAGCAAAAACCCCTCTCTACTATAAATACAAAACATTAGCTGGGCGTGGTAGCACACGCCTGTAATCCCATCTACTTGGGATGCTGAGGCACAAGATCTCTTGAACCCAGGAGGCAGAGGTTACAGTGAGCTGAGATGGCATCACTGCACTCCAGCCTGGGCAAACACAGCAAGACTCAAAGAAAAGGATATTTTCTTTTTTAAAGTGTTGTTAAAGGATATACGTCAGCAAGAAAAAAAATGAACACAGAGGGAAGATGTGAATTACAAGAAACAGTGGTCAGCCCAGGAATTGATTAAAACATTTGGATAATTTAATAAACTGACTAGAAAAAATTATATATATAAATATTTGTATAGTATGTAATGATTAATACATGATGATGATGATGATGATGATGATGATAAACCAAAACTCCCAAAGTATGCATTCAAACACCTGCTAGAAATATAATCTGTCTTCCAAACCAGCACAATTAAAATAAGAAAGTAAAACTATCAAACCAAAAGAATACAGGAAGAAGGAAGGTGGAAGGAACAAAGAAAAAGCTGGTGACAGCAAACAAAGTAAGATGCATGAATGAATCCAGCAGCTATATCAGTAATCACCAAAAATGTAAGCAGATTAAACTCACATATTAAAAGACGTATTATATTGGATAAGTAAATAAAACTCAGCAATATTCAGCTTATAAGGTACATGTACAATAATACTACACAGAATTTGAAAATAAAAGAGACTTAAGAACAGTTAGTAGGAAAATACTGTACTTACCAAAGTAATATAACAAACTTTAAAACAAAAATCATTATTGTGGAAGTGAGGAACACTGCATAATAAGGTAAGAAACAATTGACTTAGAAGATCTAATAATAATAAACTCTGTGTACCTAACAATATTATCTTTTGAATAAACTAGTCAAAGGACTAGGCAGTAATTCCTTTAAATGTTTTCACCTGGGGGGGAAAAAAAACTATGGAAATTATTCAGGTTACAAATGGAAAATTTCCAAATATCTTTTGCAATTAGACTTCATTAAATGAATTTGTTTTTCAGAATTGTTAAGACTCGAATCAGAAATGGAGTTCATTGTTTTGAAATAGAATGGGAAAAGCCTGGTATGTATTCACTTTAAGCAAAATATTCCATTTATAATATTTGACCATGTATGTCTAGTAAATATTGTACGTGTGTGTGAAAAATAAAGATGAAACCCATCACATGCACCACAGGTTGATTTCATAGTTTGCCTGTGTTATTTTAGATAGGTTTTGACTAATAGTAAACATGATAAACTTTGATTTTATTTTAATGTCCTAATTTGACATTTCTTTTATAATGTTTAAGGAAGTAATGCTGAAATAATTTTTATTTATATTTCTCAAATATGCTTTTACAAATGCTCTGGTCATTCAATGTCATGTATAAGTCCATCTGAAAAAATTGAGATTGCTAAAAAACCCCTGGGATACACTTCCTTTCCTTTTTTTTTTTAACCCTGCTTAGTTTTCAGTGGGAATTTTTTATTGTCAAATTATTCTTATTTTTGCTACAGATAGAATTACAGTGAACTCTGAATTAGCTCCCAAACTGGAGATAGTGAAACACAGATAATTTAAAATGGAAAATGACACCAAGTTGATTTCTGTTTGGCTTTGAAATTAAACTGTTTGATCATATTTGAGAGAACAGGTTTGTCCAATGAAAGTTTAAGCTGTAGGTAACTTTGAAGAATGAAATTACAGAGAATTAGATAAATCATTCCAAGCAGTAAGAGGAAGATAGAATGTTGAAGAATTTTGAAAAGTATTTAGAAACAGTTACACTGACTAGTATATTTTCAGGAAAGAAAATGATATTAATTCAGTTTGGCAATGCATCTCTCCTGTCAAGAACTGAGGATCAGATACCCATTTTCACTGATCCTCGTGGGAGCTATTACAGGAGAAAATGTACTCCAAGCTAGTTTAACTAAGGAACACTTTTAAAATCACTCATTCTCTTTGTTTCTGCTTTAAACTTATCAGTATTTTCTTTATAATTTGGCTTATTTTATAGTTTTGCCCACATATAAACCCAAGAATCTAGTGTACTGTTTGTAAATACACTGTACTGTAAATTAACATATGAACATTTTTATTTTCATTTATTAATTACTTGTAAGTCCAGTTAGATTGGGCTTGAGACATTGATACCCTCTGAAACAACAATCTGGGAAGTAGTAATACTTTTTTTTTTTTTTTTTCTTGAGACGGAGTCTTGCTCTGTTGCCCAGGCTGGAGAGTGCAGTGGTACCATCTTGGCTCACAGCAACTTCTGCCTCCTTGGCTTAAGTGATTCTCCTGCCTCAGCCTCCCGAGTAGGTGGGGTTACAGGCACCTGCCATCACGCCTGGCTAATTTGTATTTGTAGTAGAGATGGAGGTTTGCCATTTTGGCCTGGCTGGTCTCGAACTCCTGACCTCAGGTGTTCCACCCGCTTCGGCCTCCCAAAGTGCTGGGATTACAGATGTGAGCCACTGCGTCCGGCCTGGAAAGTAGTAATGCTTTTGATGACCCTTTCAGTTTTGTTCTTTTCAGAAGCCATCACTAAAGAAAGCTGATGTTGAGTTTTAGGAAGCTATTTCATTTCTTGCCTGGAATTTTAACACTTACTTAACTGAATTAAACCAACTAACCTTACCTAAACAAAGTTTTCTATTCTTTCAGCTACTGCTACCATCTCAGAATAAGAGAATTCAAAGTTCTAATTTAGAAAGACTCTCCAGCTATTGCCAGGCAAAAAGAAAATAAATTATGTACTGCTATCAACAGATTGTTAGAATATAGGTGTTATAAAGCAAGATTTGCAGTGAATAGTTCATTTGTGAATGACTTATTTTACCTGGTAAACCTAGTTACCTGGAAAGATTGAAGTTTTTTTTTTGTTTTTTTTTTTTAGATGGAGTTTTGCTCTTGTTGCCCAGGCTGGAGTGCAGTGGTACGATCTCGGCTCACTGCAACCTCCACCTCCCGGGTTCAAGTGATTCTCTTGCCTCAGCCTCCCGAGTAGCTGGGATTACAGGCACATGCCAGCACACCTGGCTAATTTTTGTATTTTCAGTAGAGATGGGGTTTCACCATGTTGGTCGGGCTGGACTCGTGTTGGTCAGGCTGGTCTCGAATTCCTGACTTCATGATCTGCCTGCCTTGGCTTCCCAAAGTGCTGGATTACAGGTGTGAGCCACCAAGCCTGGCCAATTGGATTTTTTAAAAATGTGTAATTAAGGATGCTTTGCTGTATTTTTAATCTTTTAGAACATTATGCTATGGAAGATAAACAACATGGAGAATTTGCTGTGCTAACAATAGAAGAAGAATCATTGTTTGAAGCAGCATATCCTGAGATCGTTGCTATTTACCAAAAACAAAAGTTAGAAATTAAAGGGAAGAAACAAAAACGTAAGTTTTGGGTTTGATAGCTATTTAGACCACATGCAAATGTTATAGAAGAGCCACCTCTTCTGTTTGAATCTACTCTGTCTAAATTTTACTGAAAAATCTACAAAATCAAGAGTCAAGAATTATATTCTTCCTTGTCTTCACATACTTTCTTTTAAAGCTGAAAAGCCAGGAATAAAACATTCTGCTCTGTCTACTAACTTAACCAAGTGTTAATAATAATAGTTATACTGACCAATTGGTCAGCAGCTACTGTTTATAGCATATTCGGGTTTTAAATACATTTTCTTCATTTCCCAGAACTCAGTGAGGAAAACAGCTCAATTGTTTTCAGAGGGAAATATTTTATAATCTAGGAATGCACTGAGACCAAAAAAAGCCAAAAAAATTCATATAGATTTCTCTCTGAACTGTTTATTTATTTGTTTTTACCCAAGTTAAAGCAAAGAAAATAAATGTTGATTATACGTATTTTTTTTTTCAGGTATTAAGCCTAAAGAAAATAATTTGCCAGAACCAGATGAAGTAATGAGCTTTCAGTCACACATGACTTTAAAACCCACATGCGAAATCTTTCATAAGCAGAATTCCAAGTTAAAGTTGGGGATTTCCCCTGATTCTGCATTACCACAGGAATCTATATCTGCCTCGCTGAATAGCTTGCTTTTACCTAAAACTACTCCGTGTTTGAATGTACAAGAACAGTTCGTGTCTTCTCCAAGACCTCTGGCTATACAGATTAAAGCTGTCAGTAAGTCTCTAATTTCAGAATCTAGTCAACCCAGTACCTCATCTCGTAATATATCTGTGATTGCTGATCTACACTTGAGCACTATTGACTGGGAAGGTACATCTTTTAGTAATTCTCCAGCTATTCAAAGGAATACTTTTTCTCACGGTTTAAAATCAGAAGTTGAATCAGAGCTATCAGCCATCCCTGGTGGCTTTGAAAATATCCCAGAACAACTGTCATGTGAATCAGAAAGGTATACTGCAAACATACAGAAAGTGTTGGATGAGGATTCTGATAGGATTAGTCCTGAAGAGCATCTACTTTCTGGCATTACTGATTTATGTCTTCAGGATTTGCCTTTAAAGGAACGAATATTTATAAAATCATATCCTCAGGATAGTCTACAACCAGATGTCAACCTGAAAACTTTGTCCATACTTAGTGTAAAAGAACCTTATATTGCTAACAGTGGTTCTGATTGTACATCACATCTTTCAAAGGATCTTCCAGGAATTCCCTTGCAAAATGAATCCAGAGACTCTAAAGTTCTAAAAGGAGACCAGCTGCTTCAGGAAAACTATAAAGTCAATACTTCTGTACCTTATTCTGTCAGTAACACAGTAGTAAAGACCTGCAATGTTAGACCACCAAATACTGCTTTAGATCATAGTAGAAAAGTTGATATGCAAACCACTCAGAAAATTTTAATGAAGAAGAGTGTTTGCCTTAACAGACATTCCTCTGATGAACAAAGTGCCCCAGTGTTTGGGAGAGCTAAGTACACAACTCAAAGAATGAAGCACAGTTCTCAAAAGCAAAATACAACCCAGTTCAAAGAAAGTGGCCACAACAAGTTGGGTAGCCCTAAGATACATATTAAAGAAAGTGAACAGTGTGTCAGGTCTTATAAAACAGCTGAAAATGAAGAAAGCTGGTTCCCAGATTCAGCAAAAAGTTCTTTGAGTTCTCTACAATGTCATAAGAAAGAAACCAACTCTGTTACTTGTTTGGATAGTCCTCTTCCTTTACGCCAGAGATTAAAACTAAGATTCCAAAGCACTTGAAAGGAACTTTAAAACACTTAAGTATAACTTATTATTTTAGTTCTTCAGCAATAGCAGAGACAGAGGGAAGGTATCTAGTTCATGTGTGGTAAAAATTTTCATGTTCTCTATGTCATGAAACACCATTTTAATCAAAATTGTGATTTTAAAAATGTCACCTAAAACTCGGGTTTTAAAAGACCCTCTGTATTGAAAACTTCTGATAATGCATGTCATTATTATGTCCTTATTATTCCTTAATTGTGGTTTTAAAATATTGGTATAGTACTTGACAGAGTAAATGCTTCATCTCTTTGTTCATTTTTACTTTTTCTTCCACAAGCCTCTAAAGTATTTATATTCCAGCTTGTTCCCAGGAGGATAATTCTTTATACTTCTTTGCATTCTTTTAAGGCCTTGCAAGGTCTTCCATTATAACTCTCTTTCCTAAGAGTTATTTTCTCCCTAAGTGTGAAGATACCTTTAGTGTGCTCTTCCACCTTGGAAGGCCTTGGAAGTCTTCCATTATAACTCTTTCCTGAGAGTTATATTCTCCCTCAGTGTGAAGCTACCTTTAGTGTGCTCTTCCACTTTTGGTGTCTTAGTCTCTTTTTTGAGGGGCAAAAAGAGAAAAGGAGAGAAGATGTCAGTATGTTTAGTAAAAATCATGCTTGTAATGGCTGAATAAACTGAGCAAAGCCCAGAAGTTCACACGTATATCAAGTGGAAGAAGATTTGGAAAATCAAATGTAGGATCACATAGCTAACTAATAATCCTGTGGGAATCAGTTTTCTTGCCTGCTAATTTTTTTATTTTTCTATTTTTTCCTTCTGTAGCACTTTTCCCCCTTTTGTTTTAAATCTATGCAATATTGACTTTAATACCACCAAATATTAAATCTTGCATTAATTTAGGTCGCACTCAAAAATTCTAGAGAGGTATCCAGATTGAGGAGGAAAATTGTCTCTGCAGATGACAAGATTGTATGTATCAAAAATTCTAAGAAATCCACTAGAAAACTATTAAAACTGATAAAATGAGTTCATCAAGGTTGTAGAATACAAGACCAATTGTGCAATGATCATTGTATTTTGTTTGTGTTTGTTTGTTTGTTTTTTGAGACGGAGTCTCACTCTGTTGTCAAGACTGGGGTGTAGTGGCACCGTCTTGGCTCACTGCAACCTCTGCCTCCCAGGTTCACACAATTCTCGTGCCTCAGCCACCTGAGTAGCAGGAATTACAGGTGTGTGCCACCATGCCTGGCTAATTTTTAGTATTTTTAGTAGAGATGGGATTTTCCCATGTTGGTCAGGCTAGTCAACTCCTAGCCTCAAGGATCCACCCATCTCGGCCTCCCAGAGTGCCGGGATTACAGGTGTGAGCCACCATACCCAGCCTTAACTGTATTTCTGTACACCTCTAAGTAAATGGAAATACATTCCATGTTGATGAATCAGAAGACATGAGATGACAATACTCCCCAAACTGATCTACAGGTTAAATGTAATTCCTATTAATTCCAGCTGGTTTCTTTGCTGATTATAAAATTCATATGGAAATTTCAGAAACACAAGAAGAATCTCGAAAAAATTTGAATGACTCACCCTTCCTGATTTTAAGTATATAAACTACAGTAATGAAGAATGTGTTGTACTGGTATAAAGGTAGACGTATAGGTCAACATAGATCAATGGCATAGAATTGAGAGTTCAGAAAAAAGCCCTCACGTTTATGGTCAGTTGATTTTAAACCAGAGTGCCAAGACAATTCAATGGGAAAACAAAACTGTCTTTGAACCAACTGTCTTCTGGATCTATTGGATATCTACGTAAAAAAGAATGACATTTGATTCCTACTTCACATGATATTTAACAAGTAACTTAAAATGGATCAAGGACCTAAATGTAAGAGCTACAGCTGTAAAACAGAAGAAAACATAGACATAAGTCTGTGACTTTGGATTAGGCAAGGATTTCTTAAATATACCCAAAACATAGGCAACAAAAGAAAATACACAAACTGGACTTCATCAAAACTAAAAACTTGTTTGAAATGGTACCATCAAGAAAGTGAAAAGACAGCTTACAGAATGGGAGAAAATATTTGTAAATCATAAATATGGTAAGGGACTTGTATCTTAGAGGGATGTATATAAAGAACTCATAACTCAATTATAAAAAGACAACTTCAAAATGGGCAAAATAACAGGCATTTCTCCAAAGAAGAAATACAAATGGCCAATAAGCACATTTAAAATTGTTCAGTACTATTAGTCATCAGGAAATTGCAAATCAAAGCCACAAGATGCCCAATAGAATGTCTGCAATCAAAAAGATAATAACTAGTATTGATGAGGATGTGGAGAAATTGGAATTCTCATAACATGCTGGTAGGAATGTAAAATGGGGCAGCCACTTTGGAAAAAGTCTGGTATTCAAATGGTTAAATGTAGAGTTAATATCCAGCAGTTCCACTCCCAGGTATATACCCAAGAGAAATGAAAACATACATCCACATAAAAACCTGTGCACAAATGTCCATAGCGTCATTATTCATAATAGCCAAAAAGTGGAAACAATCCCAATTCCAGAATGAGGAATGGGAAAAACTAATGTGTATTAGCTACTGTGTGCTAAGCATTCAACTAGATTCTTTACAAACCTTGTATCGTCTCAACAGCTTTTTAAGGACTGTATTACAATGTTTTGTATATTCAGAGAGAAAAACGTTGCTAAAACATTCTTCCAAGGTTCTGCTTATTCTGATTTGTTCAGTCGTAGCTGTGATAGTTTAGGACCATCTAGACCAGGTAAATAAAATATCTAGAGGCATTCTTGAGATTGTATGAGATGAAAATAATAATTAGTTGGGAGTGGCCAGTCTAGGTTCATTTTGCTATATAGCTCAGGTGTCCCCAGGCTGTGGACAGGTACCAGTCCATGACCTGTCAGGACAGCCTGCACAGCAGGTGGTGAGCGGCATGCAAGCAAGAATCACCGCCTGAGCTCTGCCTCCTGTCAGATCAGCAGTGGCATTAGATTCTCATAGGAGCTCGAACCCTTATTGTGAACTACGCATGCAAGGATCTAGTTTGCGCACTCCTACTGAGAATCTAATGTCTGATGATACGAGGTGGAACAGTTTCATCCCACAGCCATCTCACCCGCATCGTCCATACAAAAATTGTTTTCCATGAAAGTGGTCCTTGGTGCCGGAAAGGTTGGGGACCGCTGATACAGCTAAACAGGCGTAAGTGTAAAATTATACTTTCTCCTCCTCAAGTTCTCTGTTTTCATTGTCCACGTTATACCAATTCTTTTTAAAGCATTCCATGTTCCTGTTCCTTGGTGTGGTCATGTTACCGCTTGTTTATCAAATTTTACAAGTTGCTGCTTACGTATTTGCTAACCACTTCATTGTCTTGTTGAGGATGCCTTGCTTCCCTTTGAAATACTCTGCCAAAGATCTGCCTCCAGCTGCTAGGATCCTGTAATTGGTTTCTTTCTGATGGCTCCATCCTAAGGCCCTGCTCTGGCCTAACTACTTTGGGCTTTGTGTAATCAATCTTAAGTTCTTGGCGGTTTTTCTTTTAGATTTTTTTTTTCTGTATAAAATCTCTATCGGGCGATGCATGGTGGCTCATGCCTGTAATCCCAGCACTCTGGGAGGCTGAGGTGGGTGGATTGCTTGAGGCCAGGAGTTCAAGACCAGCTGGGCCAACATGGCAAAACCCCGTCTCTACTAAAAATACAAAAATCAGTGGGGCCTGGTGGCGTGCATCTGTACTCCCAGCTACTGAGGAGGCTGAGGCAGGAGAATCACTTGAACCTAGGAGGCAGCGGTTGCAGTGAGCTGAGATGGTGCCACTGCACTCCAGGATGGGTGAAAAAGTGTCTCAAAAAAATTAAAATTTAAATTAAAAAATATATAATCTCTGTCTTCTAGATTTTATAATGAGGACTGTACTTTTTCCTTTTGGGTAGCATGGCTTGAGCGATCTTGTCAGGCATACCTAGCTTCAGATTCTTTTCTGCTAACAGATTTTCTCTGAGACCCTGGAGACATTTTCTGACTTTTCTGAGACTCATTTATTCAAATGTTTATGTGACAGGCATTGTGCTGGGCCCTGGAGATACAGTGATCAATGGTATCCTATAAGGTTGTTTTGGTATCTGTCAAGTCGCTGCCACCATTGACACATTGTACGGACTCAGTCAATGGTAGCTGTGTCCGGTACCATCATTTGGAAAGAGCACTATCAGATTTTGGATTCAAATTGAATGCAGCCAAGCACTGCCTTTTGGTAAAAAGTGGACACAGTAACGCTAGCAGGAGGCAGTGTGAGGGTGGGAGATGTGTTTTCAGAAGAACGAAACTCTAGCATCATCACACAAGGGATCCTAATGTGGCATTTGAGCTACTGGAAAAAATGTGCTTGCTTAAATATAATTTGGTAACTAATATTCATCTGATCACCTATCACATTTTTGAGCACCCATTTTGAGCAAGGTTCTTAGGCTTTTCTATGTATAACAGCCAGCTGGAGGCCCAGTAAGTTTAAAATTTTTCTAGGTCACTCAACTAGAAAAGGTTAAAGCTGGGACTAGAACTCAGATCTCCTAATTCGTGAGTGAAAACGATTCTCTGTATTTATGTTTCCACACATCATTCAGTTCTTGACTCAAATATCATCTCAGAGAGTCCTAATCTTTCTATCTCCTGACATTATAAATGTTGAGTTTAGGGTTTTGTTTTGTTTTTTTTTTCATTGTTTCCCAAACTAGAATGCAGACTTGATGAGGCCAGGGATTAAGTCCTTTCTGTTCACAGAATTCTGGAACAGTGTTTGGCACAGTAACTGCTAGATGCATGAATGACAATTCTGCACAACCCGCCAGCCATGGAGCCTGTACCAGCAGTGGCTGCACTTAACCTTGCAGAATCTGGTCTTAGTACTTCAGCATGGCTCACAAGGCTGAGGCAGCCTGGCCCCAACTTGTCTTTTCAGCTTCATGCATTCATAGTCATGAACCTTGGCTCTAGCCACCTAAGACCATTTGTTATTCCCTGCATGGATGTCTGCCTGAAATGCTTGCTGCTAAGGCTAGATAAACCTCATCTGTTAAGGACCAGCTCACATGTCATAACTTTCTAATCCCAAGCCGAATTAATTGCTCTATATGTGTCCCCAAAGAAATTACCCATACATTCATCATAGTATTTATCACATTCATTCATTTGTTCCACAAATACTAGCTGATGCCTACCATGTAGGAGGCACAATATTCCTTGTTTAAAAAGGCCTCTATCTCTCCCTC